GGATATGACGATGTATTACGGATGCAGGGCAGGCTATGTGTGCCTAATGTAGATGTTTTGCGTGAGTTGATCCTCCAGGAGGCTCACAGTTCACGGTACTCCATTCATCCAAGTGCCGCGAAGATGTATCAAGGTGCTGCGAAGATGTATCAGAATTTGAGGCAGCACTATTGGTCGACGCGGATGAAGAAGGACATAGTGGAATATGTAGCTTGTTACCTAAATTGTCTGCATGTGAAGTATGAGCATCAACGACCGGGTGGATTGCTTCAGAAGATGGAGATTCCAGAGTGGAAATGGGAGTGGATCACTATGGATTTTGTTGTTGGGCTCCCAGGGACTCAGAGAAAGTTTGATGCGGTTGGGTGATTGTGGATAGGTTGACCAAGTCAGCTCATTTCCTTCCTGTGGTTACTACTTACTCTTCAAAGCAGCTAGCTCAGGTTTACATCCGCGAGATTGTCAGGCTTCATGGCATACTGGTATCCATCATCTCTGACCGGGCTACGCAGTTTACATTACGGATCTGGAGAGCCGTATAGTATGAGTTGGGTACTCGTGTGGAGTTGAGTACAATATTTCACCCTCAGACGGACGGACAGTACGAACGCACTATTCAAATATTGAAGGATATGCTTCATGCGTGTGTGATTGATTTTGGGGGTGCTTGGGATCAGTTCTTGCCACTTGCGGAGTTTGCCTACAACAACAGTTATCAATCGAGCATTCAAATGGCGCCGTATGAGGCTTTGTATGGTAGACGGTGCTGGTCTCTAGTGGGTTGGTTCAAGCCGGGCGAGGCCAGGTTATTGGGTACAGACTTGGTTTAGGATGCCTTGGAGAAGGTTAAATTGATTCAGGATCGACTTCGTATAAGCCAGTCCAGGAAGAAGAGTTATGCGGATCAAAAGGTTTGCGACGCTGCATTTATAGTTGGGTGAGCGGGTTTTGCTCCGGTTTTTGCCCATGAAGTGTGTTATGAGGTTCGGAAAGAAGGACAAGTTGAGCCCTAGGTATATCAGGCCTTTTTAGATTCTTCATAGGGTTGGAGAGGTGGCTTACAGACTTGCACCACCACCTAGTCTCTCTGTAGATCATCCAGTGTTCCATGTTTCCATGCTCCAGAAGTATCACGACGATCCGTCTCATGTGTTAGACTTCAGCTCAGTCCAGTTGGATAAGGATCTATCTTATATTGAGGAGTCAGTGCCATTTTGGACATGCAGGTTCGAAAGTTGAGGTCAAAGAACATTGCTTCAGTGAAAGTGGTGACTTGGGAGACCGAGCATGTTATGCGCAGCAGTTATCCTCATCTTTTTACCACTTCAGGTATTTCTCTATACTCGTTCGAGGACGAATGTATGTTTTAAGAGGGGGATGATGTAACGATCCGGCCGGTCGTTTTGAGAAAATTAGCCCAGAACCCCTATTTACTGTTCCCTCTAATTTATTTTGGGGTTTGTGACTTTCCGTAAGGATTTGTTTTTGGTTTCGGAGCGAAATGGGATACATAGTCCCTAAAATGGAGGTTTAAATCATAGGAATTGACTGTAGTTTGAACTGTGTGAAGATGGATCTGGAATGGAGTTTTGATGGTTCCTATAGCTCCGTAGGGTGATTTTGGTCTTATGAGCGTGTTTAGATGTTGAATTGGAGGTTCGTAGGTCATTTTAGCGCTAATTGGCAAAAGTTGGAAAAATGATGATTTTTGAGAAATTTGACCGGGAGTGAAGTTTTTGATATCGAGGTCGGATTCCAATTCCGAGAGTTGGAGTAGGTCCGTAATGTCAATTATCACTTGTGTGCAAAATTTGAAGTCAACCGGACTGGATTTGATAGGTTTCAACGTCGGATGTAGAAGTTTGAAACTTTAAAGTTCATTAGGCTTGAATCGATGTGTAATTCATGTTTCTAGCATTTTTTGATGTGATTTAAAGGCTTGACTAAGTTCTTATGATGTTTTAGAACTAGTTGGTATATTTGGTTGAGGTCTCGGGAGCCTCGGGTGAGTTTCGGATGGTTAACAGATTATTTTTGGACTTAGAAGATTTTCTGGTGCTGGGATATTTCTGGTGTAATCACACCTGCACAAGGTTGACCGCAGGTGCGATCTCGCAGATGCGAGGTATGGGGCGCATGTGCGGAGCTAGGAGAGTTGGCCAGTGGTCGCAGGTGCGGTGTGTGGGCCGCAGAAGCGGAGTCGCTTATGCGGGAGATCAATCGCAGAAGCGGGTGAGTGCTTGGGGAGGCTTCCGCAGAAGCTGACGAGGGACGGCAGAAGCTCATCTGCAGATGCTGAGATTTGCGCGCAGGTGCGAAACCTGGGGATTTAAGTGAACTCCGCAGATGCGGAGACTTCACCGCAAAAGCTGAATTTTGTCCGCAAAAGCGGAAAGCCTCGGCAAATTCTATAAATTCAAGGGCTCACGAGTTTTATCATTTGTTGGACATTTGAGCTCGGGTTTGGCAACTTTTGAGAGCATTTTCGAGGGATTTATTGAGGTAAGTCCATTGTGCTTATTTTTGATCAATAATCTTGTTTCCCCGTTGATTTTTCCACCTAGATTAGGTGTGTTTAAGGTGAAATATGGGAGTTTGAGGCTAGGGATTTAGAGAGCGTAATTTGAGGATTTGAGTGACGATTTGGTGTCAGATTTTTGTAATTTTGGTATGGGTAAACTCGTGGTTGAATAGGTATTCGTATTTTATGACTTTTACCCGATTTTGAGACGTGGGCCCGGGTCGACTTTTGGGGCAATTTTTCGATTCTTTGCTAAAGTCGTAGATTTATGATTTAAATTAGTTTCTTGTAATTGTATTCATGTTGTGAAATTGCTTTTGGCTAGATTTGGGCCATTCGAAGTCGGAAAATCGAGGGAAAGACATTCTTACCGATTGATTGAACGACATTTGAGGTAAGTGACTTATTTAAGCTTGTGTGGGGGAAATCCCCTTAGGATTTGGTATTGTCATAACAATTTGTGATATGTGAGCACCGTGTACGTGAGGTGACGAGTGCGTACACGAGCTGATTATGGAAAATTCGGTTCTTGCGGATTTGTCATCTTTTAAAATATATTAACTGAGTTGTATTCTTTTAAAATACATTAATTGAGTTGCCTTAGCATATATAGTGATCATGTTTAGTCTAGCATCGCATGTCTATATACCTTAACTCTTACTTGCAATTTGTGCAACATGCTTAGTTGAATTACTTGCTCTCCTTGATTTGAATTAAATCTAACTGTAAGATTCTTGCTGAAAATTTGTGTTTTTCTTCGATTACCTGCTGCATATTTACTTTGGGACTACGAGGCGGTTCCTCGGGAAATCCCCTTGTACTGCATATTTACTTTGGGACTACGAGGCATTTACTCGGGAGATCCTCATGTACTGCATATTATCTTTGGGACTATGAGGGGTTTACTCGGGAGACCCCTTATACTGCATATTTACTTTGGGACTACGAGGCTTTTACTCGGGAGATCTCCATGTACTGCATATTTACTTTGGGACTACGAGACATTTACTCGGGAGATCCCCTATACTGGATATTTACTTTGGGACTACGAGGCGGTTACTCGGGAGATCCCCCTGTACTGGATCTTTATATTTGGGACTACGAGGCGGTACCTTGGGAGTGCCCCTGTTGTGTGCCTCTATTTATTGTGCTGATATTTTCTGAAACTTCTTATTGTTTAAATTCTCAGTTATTTCAAAATATTATTAAATTTTCTACCTTACTTTTCTTTTAAACTAGTAGGGCCCTGACCTGAACTCATCACTACTCTACCGAGGTTAGGCTTGGCACTTACTCGGTACCGTTGTGGCGTACTCATACTACACTCTGCACATCTTTTTGTGTAGATCCAGGTTTTTCCCACCAGACTAGATACCAGTGAGTTGGACCGCACAGGGAGATTTCAAGGTATATCTGCCAGCGTCCGCAGACCTTGGAGTCCCTCCCTATTCTTATTATGTTATTTGCTTGATTCTCCTTAGACTTGATATATAAAGACACTTCGTATTTCTGTTACAAACTTGTGACTTGTTTCCACCGGGTTTTGGGAGTTGTAATGGTAGTTTTATATTTATATGTCATGAGTTGAGATTGGAGTTCAGTTCATTATTCATTGATTCTGCAAATATGTAGGCTTACCTAGTCTTAGAGACTAGGTGTCATCACGACGTCCTACGGAGGGATAAATGGGGTCGTGACAGTAAATTGAAAAGATCTATTTATGGCCTCAAGCAATCTTCAAGGCAATGGTATTTGAGATTTCACAAGGAGGTGATCTCGTATGATTTCACCATGATCAGTGGAGACCATTAGATTTATGTGAAGAAGTCTAATGGGATGTTTATAATTCTTTCTCTTTACGTGGATGATATTTTATTGGGCGAAAATAATTTGGATTATTTGAAAACTATCAAGTCATGGCTTTCAAAGTCATTTGACATGAGAGATATGGGCGAGGCAGACTATATCCTTGGAGTTGATCCAAAGAGACTGTTCCAAAAAGTTATTGAGTCTATCTCAAGAAACTTATATAAAGAAAATTTTGGAGCGTTTTCGCATGAATAGTTGCAAATCCATGGATACTTCTATAGCGAGAGATGAAACTTTAAGCCTTGAAATGTGTCCCAAGACTGAAAATGAAAAGGAAGATATGTCTCGAGTTCCGTATTCAAGTGTTGTCAGGAGATTGACGTATGCTATGATGTTTACTCGCCTAGACATTTGTTATGCCGTAGCTCTTGTTAGCAGGTATCAATCCAATCCTGGAAGAGATGTGAAGAGATATTCCAGATACCTGAATGGAACTGCAGATTATTCACTATGTTATAGTGTAAATGATTTATACTTGAGAGGATATACAGATACTGATTGGGCTGGTGATCGGAATGATAGAAAATCAACATCCGGTTATGCCTTCTTACTATATGGTGGTGCTATATCATGAAAAAGTAAGAAAGAAATATGTACATCCCTTTCAACGATGGAAGCTGAGTTCGTGGCTTGTGTGTCTGCAGCACAAGAAGATGTTTGGTGGAAGAGATTCTTTGAGCATTTGGATATTACAAAGAACTCTCAAGGTCCCATGACTCTATATTGTGATAGTCAAGCGGCTATTGAATAAACAAAAGATCATAGGTATCACAGCAAGACCAAACAAATTGACATCAAGTATAACTTTGTGAGAGACATGGTAGCAAGTGGAGAGATAAATTTACAGTACATTCCTACGCGAAGCATGATAGCTGACCCTTTTACAAAGGCGATATCTAGAGACCTGTTTGAAAAATATGTAATGGTTCTAGGTTTGCGAAGGATATGAATATATATATATATATGTATTGTAAAATGACTTGATTATTATAATATGCTCATCGATATTTGACTCTTGAATTTATGCTTATATCTCGTATGCATGTGATGATGTTTTGTTGATAAAGAGTGTGTCGAACAAGTTACGAGATTGACTCTCTCACACGAGAAATCGCCTCTTACGTTAAGAATCGTGAAGAGATGAGACCTTATAAAACCTTGGATAATGCGAGGTTATATTTACTTATTCAGGCCGGTCTTGAAAACTAGTTAGGCTTACGAATTTTAATATTCGATTATGACTTGTTTTGTAGGCCAGATATGAGTTTCTCCAAAAAGTTGGATTTGAGGATTATTAAAGTGAGAAACTCGGGTTAGACATTTAGGGGTGTCTAGACCAAGATATGTACGGTGTTGAATAAGTAAAAGAATAAGACACACACGCTAATATAATGTGAGAACACCGTAACATGTATTTCGTACCACGCGTGCTATCGACCATGGGATAATGGAAGAATGAATCTCTGCTTCTTCATTATGTGAGATTCCCAAAGAAGTTATATTAACTTTTATTGAAATACCCTTTGACCTTTTACTGTCTCTTGAAGTGTCAATCAGTGTTGCTACTTTAGCATGTCACTAATAGCCATGAGTGATTCGGCAATGCAGTACATGTCTAGGAAAGCAGTTGATTTGGAATGGAAAGATTCGAGTAGAAAGGGAAGACAACTAAAAATATTTGTTTTTTTAGTAATTTAACTTGTATTCATAGGTCGACCATTACACTTACCATGAGGGTATCAAATGCAATTATGAATACAAAGTTATTCATGAACTTGAGTTCACCTCTTTTCGAGGATGAGGGATCGGATAACAAGCTATAGGAGTAGCGAATGATGTCTGGGGTATTGCGAGTAATAAGATCCTCATGCTAGTAGTGAATTCTTTCCGTATGTGATTGGATTTCTACGTAGAGCTTTAGTATAACCTTTAATTGGTTTTGGAATGTTACAGCTCTTTGTGCTCGCAGGTCGCACCAACTATTTGCCAGTATGAACTGTGTGTTAAAGACATCAGTCTAGCCCACTATGAGCGAAGTCGGAGATGTTGGATTATGGGTCGTGAGTCGCTCCATGTGGGCTGACCCGACCCGGTCAGGAGAGATAAATGAGAGAGGTTAAGGGAAGTTATCACTAAATCACAAACTCCCACTAAAGTGAACATGCAAAAAAGAGAGTGGTGAGTTATCTTCCTTAACCGCTTTTACTCTGCCTATTTATGTTAAAGAGAAAACTCAATACTTTTTGAAGCGTTATATTTTTTTCTCTGACTAATCCTTTCTACACGAAAAACACACACAAATTAGGACATTTAATTGGTGAAAGATTAACTTTGTTTCCTAGTGATTCAAAAGTTAATTTGGGACAATTCTTTTGGTGGTGAGTTCAACGATTTCCGCTTTATCAATAAGATCGACAACTCGTTGTTCTCGCCCCTTGTAATTATCAAACAGTTAGAATTAGTGTCTTTGTTGATGGAATCAAGGCTATTCTTCTGTCTTCATCTCTACCGTCTTAGACAAGCAATTAACCACTTCAAACATTTAATCTCAAAATATTTATAATGTCGAGAACTCATTAAGTTTAGAATAATCTTCATTCGTTTCACGATGATATATAATTATCGAAACATATAGTAGTACTGTTACTCTCGTCTGATTGAAATTGTTTCAGTAGTATGATAACCCCATTTAAGATTTTTTTAATAATATTAGCAAATAGAAAAAGGTTTGAATTAATCTTTTTAGATTAGAATGGTTTCCTATTAAAATGTGGCCGAATCCTTTTAAAAAGAAACTCATAATTTGCCTTATGACCAGTCTTTGTGTACGCATTTTGTTAAGTTTAGATAAATAAAACAAAAAGTAATATTCCTAAAGAGTTTACTACGTACACGGTACAACTAGCATTAAAATTGGTATTTAGCACGATATAATTATCTAAATAAGTTTTTTTAATTAGCATGCAGCTCACATGTAAACCCTCGAAGGGCGCGTCAATTGCTTTATCCAGTTGTATAGTGCTAGTTGTTCGATCCATATTTCTTAATTAATTAATTAATTGTCCCCTCTTTAATTTGTTATGTCTATAAAGAAATTTATGATAAAATTCTACTTTATCATTTTTTTTTTTTGGATTTGGTAATAGTAAAAACTTCCCTTAATTTAGCTTCTCCTGGAAATCCTACTTTCAACAACATTTCGGTGTTTCGCATCGTAAACAATATTTTAATTATTGCAGTTTGGCAATAATATTTTTGAAATTATGGTTGTTTATTTTTGGGGAATTAAGTGGGTGTTTGGACATAAGAATTGTAAAATTCCAAAAAAAGTAATTTTTTTTTTAAGTGAAATGGTATTTGAAAATTAGAGTTGTGTTTGGATATTAATATAATTTTGGGTTGTTTTTGAAGTTTTGTGAGTGATTTAAGTGAAAATTTTGAAAAACTTCCAAAATTCATTTTCAAGTGAAAATTGAAATTTTATGGGCAAACATTGATTTCGAAAAAAGTAAAAAAAAAAAATCGAAAAAGTTAAAAATTTTCTTATGTCCAAACGGGCTCTAAGATGTTTCACCAACATAAAATTAATCCCTCTGTACAATATACATGGCATGTCTTTTTTAGTATGTTAAAAAATGCATGACCTCTTATTAAATTTTAGAATAATTTAACTTAAACTTCTCAGTTCTCCTAAGTGAAAAGTTTTTATACGCACATAAATATTATGATATATTTAGAACTGGAAATTTTAAAAATCTAATAGCTACACAAATATAATATTAATACTATAAGTTTTAAAAGTTTGTTTTAAAAACATTTCATGCCCAATCAAATAGATTAGCATTCATTGCAAGGGATAGATTCATAATTATTAACTATAACATAGAACTTTCCCAAAAATTACTCTTATCACATTTGTGTTGCACACTAAAACTCTTAAGTATAATTTGCTTTTTAGATGATATAATTCGTGTACTTTATTCTAATATCAGAACAGTATTCTTATACGGGGTCATTAGGAGGTATTAAAAAAAATGTAAGTATTAGTTTTGTGTATAACTAATCCCTTGTTTGATACATCAAGTATTAGTTATATATCGTATTTAGTATTATTTTATATATAATTAATACATAACAAACTACAGTATTAGCAATACAAGAGTTTTTAATTCTTGTATGATGTCACAACCCGCATTTTAGCTTGGTTAAGGTTATAATTAACCGTCAAATCTCTCAGAGCGTACAAAGTTAAAGAATATAAAGGTATTTTTTGTATGTAAACAATCACTATTTTTAAAAATTATACAATATTTTAATACACCAAATAAAATATTGAATAAGATATAATCTCACCGTAACTAATCTTAGTATTACTAGTATAACCATTGTTAATATACGCTATACCTCCAGCCAAATGACACCCTACATCTTTAATTTTATGTTTAACCTTACGAGAGAAAAGAAGGAAACGACTGCTTGTCGTTTGTTATAGAGTATTACTACATTATTACATCTACAGTGCAGCCCCCAATTAATTCATTGACCCGATCGACAAGGTAAGTATGGTGCGTTGTGTTCTATCATATTGGAAAAGTAATTGTCTTTGAACACACAAACTTCAAATTACAACTGACAAAAGGAATGATTGTGCTTTTTTCTGCTGATTTGATTGACGTTCTTTCGCATTGAGAAGCGCAAGAAATAACTACACCCCTCTCACATTATCAGATATGGCAGATTTTATGAACCCAAAGATAGAAACAGACGTGAAAGTTCACAATTATTACTTACCTTCCCTTCGCCCTTTCACCCACTAATCACTCGCTCCATTCCTACATCCCTGTTCATACACCTTTTTACTCAACTTAATTCATTTTAGATTATAATAACAGAATTATAATACAGAGACTACTTGACTAGCGCTTGGTCATAAATTTTTAAATTTATTTAAAAAAAAATTAATTTAGGTGAAGTTTGATTTGAATATGAAAATATGTTTGGACATTTTTTTCGAAACATATTTCACTTTTTTTTTTGAAAAAAATATGAAACATAACTTATATCTATAAGTTCTAAAATTATCAAAAATACCCAACAATACTAAATAAATAAAATTGTTAATCATGTATATGCAAAACCTTCATCGATGCCATTCATTAATTATCACAAACTATAGTCATGAGCATAAATAAGTTTGGCATTAAATTATTATTTTTATAATCCTAAAACCATAAAATTATATTTTAATATCAACTGCTAATAACACAATTACTAGCTATTACAATTCATCAAATTATTACAAGATTCATCGGTCCAGAAAAAATGATAGTAACTAGCTGGTGGATTAGTTGGGTCATAATAGATGGTGTGCTTTTTTATAAAATACAAAAGTTTGGTATAATTTTTGAAATTGTTAAAAAAATCCAACGGTAATATTTTGAGCCAAAAACAGATTTAGAGCTAGTTTGGGGATTTGAAAATTTTAGTTTCCAAATCTTCCAAAATATGGATAAAATCTACAAACAAACAGATTTTGCCAAAAAAAAAATATTAGAAAAAATTTGGCAAAATCTATAGCTAAATGGGGGCTTATAAAAAGGATGTAGAATAATTTATTTGATCTTGATTTGATATATATATATATATATATATATATATATATATATATATATATATATATTACGATGCCTTCGTGAAGGAGGATTGG